GCCCATTTGCAGGGAGTTTGGGGAGAGCACTGATCTTGGTTCCTGTTGTCAGACAATGCTTTCCTTCTGACTGTGGAAGAGAAAATCAGTTCTTTTTAAGCTGATAAACACATCCCAGCTGGGACCCAATTTGTTGTTTGGATATTACAGGCTGAGAGACAGACTGGAGTCCTGGCATGTTTTAAAGAAATTGTGGCTCTCTCATCAGCTAAATTAGTAATAGATAGCACACGCCTGTTATGGAAACCGAAGAGGGCTAATGGTAATAATCATTTTCTTCCACCCACTCACCCTCTTTTTTGGCTGCATTTTGTTTCAGATTAACCTGTACTACTTTTTCAATGTTTTCACTATATTTTTATTTTTTAAACAACCTCTCCCTCCTTTCCCTAACTCCTGCAACCTGAGTTTATACTAAGTGGACATGCTAAGAAATGGAGCTACTGAATTTTCATGGACTTTTGTTTAACCAAGACTGTGAGATAGTGATACTGAAACCAAACACCACACACAGGCTCTTCTCTTTCTTCCAGAACCACAATTATTCACCAAATTAGTGTTTGCTAGCTTCTTGAGGGGTAAGATTTATCTTTTTCAAATTGTAGAGTCAGTCTAAATAATAATTTCTATATGATAGGAACTGGCTCAAAACCAGCAGGCTGTGCAAATTGGGTATTTATCATCAGAGCAGTATAGAATATACCACCCTCAACATCCATCTCTGAGTTAAAATGTGGGCACTCAGGGCCAAAGCTGAGGGTATTTCCAGGAATTATTCCCTAATTTCCCCTTCTCTCCCCTTTTCACCCTGACAGAATTTACTGTGTTTGGTTTGGTTTCTCATTTTGGCTTTCATTTCCATTGTGTCTCATCCAATAGCTTTTTTCTCCATGTCAAGCAGAAGAAATCCCATTCCTTTTTGAAAGGAAAAGCAGTCCTATTGGTGTGTTACTGAGAAGCCCCAGCTCCTTCTTCCTCGTGTGTAGGGCCAATGTGGCCTCATGACAGCAATTGCTTCGTGGCATGCAGGGTCCCAGGCACACTGCAGTGCCAGTTCAGTATCCCGTTCATATTATATTTGCCATGCCTGGTACTTTCTTGAATGCTAATTATACCAATCACAGCTTTTTCGAACTCTTGAAGCAACAGAAAGTTTTTGAGCACAGTCAGGCCCCCAAGCCATGAAGTATGTGATAAAAGGGCTTCATAGACAAGAAAACAGTCACCATTGTTTGGAGAGGTACCAGGTATTTACAGCATGTCTAAGCCCCTCCTTGGTCACTAAATCATTTCAGTTCTCCCTTCTGTGTCACAATCTGTCACATGAAAACACAAGATGCTCTTTAAAGCTTATGTGACCTTTAGAGGTTCAGCCCAAAGCAGTTTTGCTGACATCTGGCACATGAGGGACTTGCCATAAGATGGGATAACAACAACAACCGCACTTCTGCAGGGCCAGCATCTGTCTATCCTAAGGCAGGGAAAGCACCACAGAAGAGGGAGGCCAACAGGTTGTACCTGAGCTGGCCCTGCAGTGCTGAGCCTAAGTTAGGGGGGAATGGAGGTAGGGGCAAAGAAGGCAGCCTGGTGAGAAGGGGGTTTAGTGAGAAAATAAGTCATCCTTCATCTTTGGATAAGGAAGTGGGGGGTTTAGTGAGAAAATAAGTCATCCTTCATCTTTGGATAAGGAATGGGGGGGTCCCTGGAAGCCTGGGATATATAAGCTAGGATGTCTCTGCAATGAGAAGACACTGTGTGAAGAATCTGGTCTACATCCTTAGAACAAAGTAACCAAAATGAGAAATCATTAAAGGAGCCTCAAGCAAAGTGAGAAGAAAAATGAGAAATCATTAAAGGAGCCTCAAGCAAAGTGAGAAGAAATTCAGCTTAATGAGGAAGACGGAGAAAAGGGAAGTTATAATGGGAAGAAAATATTCAGGAGGCATTTTTAATGGATTGAAGGGAAAGCTTAGACTCTTTCCTAGTCTGCATGAAGTTCAGACAGTGAGGTGGGCTGAGCTCTCTGCAGGGTGCTCAAAAAGCCAGATTTATTTTTCTGGCTACCCTTAGAAAATACAGCACACTGTCAAAACACGTGTCAAAAAGCTGCTTGTGCTCATCTGTTCCCACACTTCTGCCCTTGAAACATCCCCTCTGCTTCTGGGAGAGGTGATATTTGGTAATTTAGAAATGGGCTGTTATTTAGCACAGAATGTAGCCAAAGCACTCAGAGCTCCCTAAGTAATGGCTACGATGGCCAGAGCAGGCAAACCCTACTGCAGCAGCCTGTGAGCTGAGAAGGTCCTCTGTTCTACACAAGGAGATGTGTGGTGGGGAACAGCTGAATCGCCCACTCAGGGCAGATTTCCCCTCCCTGGCTGCTCCATCAGTGGAAGAGACATGATGCTGCTCCAGCAGGATGGTGCAGCAGGGGGACTCCATATTTCAAACAGCAGGGGTTAAGCAAAGTGACCAATTTCCTTGGGCTAATTGAGCATGCAATCTGCCTGCTTGTAAAGCCTGTATTTGGCCAGGAAGATTTATTACTATTAGCAATGATGAATGTCCAAGAGCAGTAAGGGCAGACCTGAGCTGCAGATCATTAACTTTAAGTGGGATGATGTTGAAAAACCATTTATATTATCGGTTACTTTGTTCTGAGTTAACTGTGAATTTAGACCTAGTTCTGTAATAAAGTGCTCAGGGAGCCCAGTGAATCTTGTTCTCTGTGGCAGATACTAAACCTGTAGGGTTTTGTCCATATCCTGATGAGTCAGCAGTTCTAGCTGATTCTGAGAGGCTATGAAGTGATAGAAGACTGCTCTGTATGAGAGTTTGAAGTTAAGCCTCCATCTATCTCACAGGCCAAAATGGAGGACTGGCATGCCTTTGTCATTGGATTTCAGAATAACCCCTCTTCATTATCTTCTTCCTTCTCAGAAAGTCAGCACCAGTTCAGAGTTTTGTCTGTGCTACTGAATGGCCTTGTCCATCACAGGGGTATGGATGCACCCCAGCCTTCTCTTACATCTGCTTTAAAATCAGTCGCTCAGTTTATATAGGCTGGAAATTGCAATGCAGTACTCTGTACAGTGACAAGTGCTGGATGCTTTACTGTTTAATATAATATCTGTCGCCCTCCACATTCATTTTTTTGCAAATACTCTCCATTTCCTTGGGAGAATATCCATTAGTGTATGCAGCTGCAAAGCCCCAGAGCACACTCTGCCTTCTTTGCCCTTTTTCCTCCCCAGCAATACTTATGCTTATATTTGTACAAAACACACTCTCTCTGTTTCTGCACTGGCAGAGCACAGTGGTCCTCTAGAAATTGTCAGTGAGTGTTTGATGCTGAAAGATTATTTTGTTATAAATCACTCCCAAAGACCGCTGTGGCCTGCAAAAAATACTTGTGTGTTGTACAGTTGTATGTAGACTGAAAACACATGTGCTTCTGTGTTTCCACAATAAATATTGTATTTCATGCTACCAGTGCAGCAGCATTGACTGCTCCAGACGACACTGTGCGAATTGTGACTCTGCCACCCCACACAGCCAAGCACAAACCTTTCTTGATCTACACATCACTCTTTAGCCTCCACGGGCCCTGGGCCATGGGCAATCAATTGCAATGCTGTGTGCAAGGAGTCCACTGCCCAGGGTAACCAACCTGGAAGCTGAAAACTAATGAATTTGCCTGTGAGGCTTAATTGTAAGGAAAGTAATTAATCTTGCTGGGGTTCACTCATCATCAAGCAAACTTTTGCTGATGAAGAAGAAAACTGCTGAGCATTCCAATTCACTCTCCAAGTCAACCCCTCCCTGTTGGACTTTGTGGGTAATTGGCACGACGCTGCTATCCTATTTTCTACAGATTCCCCAAGATGCATCCCCTGAAAGGAAGGTGTCAATGTCAGTGAGAGAAGGGGGTTTTGCAACTCAGACTTTTGTTCCCTTTCCCAAAGAAATTCCAAGTTTGCTTAGTGCCCCAATTTTGCTCAGAATGGAAGGAGGAGTGTGCAAAACAGCTGTCAGAAGATTCCACAGCAGTTTTGTATCCAATGTCCACACAGCCCTGCCACTGAGCCAGTATGAGGCAAGCATGAATCCAGCTCACATCCATCCATGGTTTAAGCCTCTGTGATGGTGCAAGAGATGGAGACACAACACTGGGTACAATCTCAATGCCCTTCAGGCATCTGGCTCATTGGAGGCATTTGTTTTAGTTGGAGATCAATTGTTCTCTTGGGCTGTCTATGAGGAGCCTACACTGGCTGGCAGAGAAGTAGCCACTGCTCAAGATGCCCTGTGCAAACTAATCAGTGAGCTGACAGACTCTCAGAGAAGGGCTGAGGAGCTGCTAGGGAGCTTTAGCGAGAGCAGGACTGGCAGAGTCAGCAGGGTGCAGGGTATCAACCCAAAGGGCCAGCAGGATCAGAGCCACTGAGGAGCTGTGTAGCTGCTTAAAGACAGTCCTGCCTGGTCTGGAGGAACACCAGTGGCACTCTCAGCACGCAGGCTGGGAGTGTTGCCCAGGTTTCTGATGGGAGCCATTCGCTGAGATCTGATTATTACACTTTAGTCACCTTTCAAGGACCTTATTTATTCCCTTCAATTCTGATTGCTGTGATTCTTTAGGCTTTCTGCACAGGGGCAAGCAAATCAGTTCTGTGAAACAAGTATGGGTGGTAAATGTATGTGATTTTTGTCACTCATGTGAGCAAAAAAAGCTGATGAAACACAAACATTAACATAAAGGGCAAAGAGAAGGGGGAGAAAATAGTTAAAGAAAGCCATGAGTCAAACAAGAGACACTCAGATGGCTACATCTGTTCTACTCATCATAAATATTTTCTCACACAAAGCATTTTATTACTAAAAGGAGCACAAAGGCTAGATCTTGGAATCACTTCTGGAAATGCAGAAGTTCTAGTGAAATGTAAAAATGTTCATGTTTTAGACAAATTAAAACATATTTTTAGTTACCTAGTTTGATTTACATCTGTATACGATAACAAAATACAGAGAAGATACTTTATTAAACACACATCAAAAAATTAAAACTGAGCAATGGGGCTAGAATTCAAACGTCAAAACACTATCAAAAAGAGCCCTCTACCCCAGTATCCTGTGAAATGAGAAGGATGTGATGGTAAGACAAGCCTTTTGCACCTCTGTTGGTGATTTGGAATGAGAAGCATTTCCATTCACTGCCAATGAATGGACCAAATCAAGAACACTGAGTTTAGATTTCTCGCTCATCTCTAAAGCTTTAAGTAGAAGAAGCATTCTGCTCCCAAAAGCAGGTGTAAAAGACCGATTTAGTGAATGGACATTTTCATATCCTAGCAGACTCTAAAAAGGAAAAAATAATTTCCAAAAGATATGTCAGCCATACACTGCAGACAGGAACGAGTATGAGCCAAAAGCACAGCAGAGGTCCACAACAGCTGGGGCACAAATGGGTGGCAGCCAAGGCTATGCTGTCCTGCAACCTTGGAGCTCCTGTCTGCAGCAGGGCAGAGGGGAAAAGTGCAGCAGAAGCAGAAAATGAGCTGTAGCCCAAGCCATAATACATGTTGGCAATAAAACAATGTTTTAGCTGTTTAACCTGAGCTACCCTTTTTTCTTTTCAAAGATTTATTTTAGAATAACTGTAATCAACAAAACCTAAGGCAAGGCACAGCTGTAATCACTCCTTGCATCATCTCTTGCAATTTTGGGGGGAATTAGATGAAACTCAGCATAAGGAAAACCATTTCAACCTTTTTGAGAAAACAAGACTTGAGATGAACTGAACTAAATGGCACACCAGTGCCATGTCATGCGGTGCACCTGGCAGCGGTGTCGTGCCAGGCCAGCTGCAAAATGAACCGCCTTTGGAGCTTCAAATCTTGTTATGTAGTGCCATCTTGAGGCCTTGGAAAATGAAAAGCATTTTACTATCTGAGTACAGTTTTTTTCTGGTTGTAGCTGGAGCAGTCCGTTCTTCAGGGTGTACAATCAAGTGCATTCAGCTGGGTTTGTGAACAGAAGATGGGGATGGACTCACCTGGCTGGAGCACCACTGGTTCTTTCCCTGCTTCCTGTAGCACCAGCTCTCTGAAACGCCTTTCCCAGAAACAGTTCACCTATTTTCATGGCATTTAAAACCCCCAGCGATAGACATCACACTGGCACTGCAGATGAGATTGAAGACCACAGCACATGGCTGCTCCTCTTCTCTGACAAGGCACACATAGCTGCTCCTCTGCCCTGTGGTGCCTTGAGAGGTGGCAAAGCAGGGAGCTGGTGCCATGTGTGCCACCAGCCCCCAGCTACTCTAGATATGGTGGTTTGATAGCTTAGGTGGCTGGTGGCCACATCTCTGCCATCTCCAGCACTGGTGGGGGCAGTGGCTCAGGAATGGTGTTTTCCATGGCAATATTGTGCCATGATGGAGCAGCAGTCACCCTGTGCCTGATTTTGGGCTGCAAGAGCTGGTCACGGGGCCAGAGAGGGCAGGCAGCAGGACAGGAGTCACAGGCTGGAGTAAAAACAAGGCAGCAGAGGAAAGTTTAGAGAAATAACCTGATGGACCACATGGGGGGAGAGCACAACAGACACCAGGGAGCTGGGGTACATTGAGGGGCAGCATGGACTGTCCATGGCACCTCACCTGCCATACTATGCCTGCAAAGGGAAGAGTGGTCGGGTCTTGGGGTGACACTGGGGGGCTGAGGAAAGGGGTCTGAGCAGTGGAGCACAGAGGGATGGGGGTGCCCATGGAGGGATACAGCCCTGTGAAGCTGGAGGTAGCAGGTCCCACATGGCACCAGTGTGTTTGTGGGGACATGTCTGGTCCTTTGATACCATCTCCCATGGCATACTCCTGGAAGAGCTCGCAGCCCATGATTTAGACAGGTGCACTCTTCACTGGGCTAAGAACTGGCTGGAGAGGTGGGCCCAGAGAGTGGTGGTAAATGGTGCTGCATCCAGCTGGGATCCAGTCACTAGTGGTGTCCCCAAGGATACCATATGGCCCAGTTCAATTCAATATACTTATTGATGATCTGGGTGAGGGGTTGATGGTACCATTAGCAAATTAGCAGACAACACCAAGTTGGGTGAGAGTGCTGATCTGCTGGAGGGCAGGAAGGCTATCTGGGCAGGCTGGATTGGTGAGACAAGTGGCATGAGGTTCAACAAGACCAAGTGCCAGGTCCTGCACTTGGGTCATGACAACCCCATGCAGCCCTACAAGCTGTGGCAGAGCGGCTGGAAAGCAGCTCAGCAGAAAGGTTCCTGGGGTGCTGGTCAACAGCTGCTGAACATGAGCCCAGGTGACCAGGGAGGCCAATGGCATCCTGACTTGTATCCAGAATAGTGTGGCCAGCAGGATCAGGGCAGTGATTGTCCCCCCGTACTTGACACTGATAAGGCCACTCCTTGAATGTTGTGTCCAGTCCTGGGCCTTTCTATTCAGGAAAGGCTTTGAGGTGCTGGAGTGTGTCCAGAGAAAGGAAATGGAGCTGGTGAAGAGGCTGAAGCACAACTCATCTGAGGAGTGGCCGAAGGAGCTGGGGTCTAGCCTGGAGAAAAGGAGGCCTTGGGAGGACCTTCTCGCTCTCAACAACAGCCTGAAAGGAGGGTGTAGCCAGATGATGGTCCATTTCTTTCCCAGGCAGCCAGTAACAGGACAAGAGGACACAGACTTAAGGGAGATTTAGGTTGGACATCAGGGAGAAGCTCGTCAGAGAGAGTGATTATCTATTGGAATGGACTGCTCCAGGGAGGCGGTGGAGTCACCGTCCCTGGAGGCGTTTAAGGAACTTAAACATTTAGTGCTATGATCTAGTTGACCTGGTGGTGTTCAGTCACAGGTGAGACTCGATGATTTCACAGGTCTCCTCCAACCTAATCGATTCTGTGACTCTGTGGTGCTGCGGGGGCGAGGGGGGCGCAGCTGCCTGATGGGAGTAAGTTAGACGTAACCCTAACTCTAGGTGGAGCAGTGAAAAGAGCCTTGGGCTGAGTAAGTCGCCAAACAAAAACTTATGGAGAGAGCTATTTAGTGGCAGTTTTCTTCTCCGTTTGGCAGGTCAATTGTAGCTGCACAGTTCCTGGAGCTCTGGGCTTTGAGGTTTTCGGAACCCTAACCCTAGGCATAACCCTAACCCAAGGTGAGGCAGTGAAAAGATGCTTGTGCTGTGTGCTGATTCCTGTAAGTCTGAGAGAGTTTCAGCCTGTCAGTGGCTGATCTGTTCCCAAGGGAGAGTCTCGAGAGCAGCTCTCGATCAAGGACTATTATTGTAAATACTCTAATTTTTCTCAAAACAGTTCTGTGCAGCTGTGGTTAGTGTGTTTTCTTTTGTCCCACCAATGGGACAGAGAGGTGGTGATCCCTTTACCTATCATGTTAAACCTGTAGCGTAATACCCTATAAAAAGCTGAAAAGTTCGGATAATAAAGCTTTTTTGACCATCTCCTTCGCGTGTTGCATGGAATCCACACTTCTACTTCGTGTCCAACTGTGACATCTGGCGCTCACCGTGGTATTGCAGCAACTGGCTAGAAGATAAGGGAGTAATTCATGGATGTGATAGAAGCCGCCAGCTCCAGAATGTCTTCACGAGCCATCTCAGACGCCGGTTCCGACCCAGGAGACTGGTCTGACCCAGAAGACATTCTCCTGGACCATGACACACGGGAAACCGCAGCGGGAGTGGTCCAGGTCGGTTCAGACGGGAGCCTTTCCCCTGCCCTATCCTTTAGTGATCCGAGTGTGGGGGTAGGTCCCCTTTATCTCGAGTCCCCAGGGGCGTCTGACAACGGGGAGGGGGACGGGGGAGATTCGGACCGCGGCCCCTCCCTCCCTGCCCGGCGGGGATCGCCCTACCCGGGGTTCGGGAAGCCACGGGAAGAGGGGGAACAAAACGTTCCTGTGGCGTTCCCCGCGGTGGGAACACAGCCCACCACTGGAAGCGCCAACGGAGTGGTTCAAACCCCTTCCCGTGCCGTGCACCAACTCTGGGGTTTGCGTGCTGCTCCTTTTTCCGCACTCGGACCCCGCGGGCGGTGGGGTGCCATCCGCGCCGCGGAGTCCCGCGGGGACCGGCCCCTCTGCCTATG